AATAACTTAAATGATTTTAGCAAATGGCTGCAATATAACAAAGAGTGAAAAATTTAAGGGGGTCTGAATACTTTCCGTACACACTGTATATATATATATATATATATATACACACAGTATATATACACATATGCTAGTTAATAACTTTATGTTCCATACCTGAGTTTGGTATGAAGTAGCCTGCTTTAAAAACTCAACAACCTCCTCACATCCAGTGGCACTTGCCTGAAGATGACAACACAAAAGACACATTTTTAGCCAATGCAACACTACAGCAAAATGTCTTGCATGTACATTCATACTGCTATATATGGCATTAATTCTTTATTCCATACAAATCTTTATTAACTCACCACTTCAATGGGCGTCTGTCCATCATAACTACACATGGTCATATCAACCCCAGCTAACTGCCATATCTCCAAACCTTCCAAGTCGCCACTCGCCGCAAGACTGTAAAACACACAGTAGAAGCTCTAAACTGGCAACCATCAACCCAATCATCGCTACAGGAAGTTTATAAACTGAAGACAACCAGTTTCGGCATGTGTTCAATGCACAGAACTGTTCGTCAATTTTAACTTATAGAAAAACAGATAATAATAGATAATAATAATAATAATTTAAAAAATCTGTGCTATTTATCAAATTTCAGTGCCGGCTAGTTTATAAAAGCTTTGAGAAGAAATGGTTTATTAACCTGCACAACTCCGTTCCAGCATCCTCCATTTCTTCCCGGGAAAAGTGAGCTCCAGTCTTCCTCAGTAGCCTCACAACATCCTTATGCCTACAGACATAGAAACAGACATAGAAACTTTGTTTGACTGACTTCACCTTAGAATTCACCTTTCGTGTTTCACAGAAGAAAGTAAGTCATATTGTTTGGAATGGAGGGTAAGTAAATGCTATCCTAACTATGAATGATTATATGGTGAGTTGCATTTAGCATTGTTTTTTTTCCCTGCTGTCTAAACCCCTGTCAGAACAGACTTTTTGGGTCACAACCCATCAGTGTTAAAACCACTGGTCTAGTTTGTCTTAAAGACTTCCCTTATAAACTAAAAGGCAAAACTTTGAAATTATGCCAATCACTTCTTGTGGTCCCAAAAAGTATTTGGACACTTAAATCAGCCTTACCTGAAGCGAACAGCATTGCGAAGAGGTGTATCACCGAAGCGATCCCTGGCATAGACGGTGGCCCCTTTACCCAGCAGATACTCCACCACTTTCAGATGGCCCTCACACGCAGCGATGTGAAGGGGAGTGCGGCCATCATAATCTGCATTGCTCAAGTCAGTGCCCTATATAGAAAGACATGAATCATGTTCTGTATCTTGTTTGGCAACACTGTATTTGTTATTGCAAAACTTGTTTGCATGCTCCTGAACCAATATATTCAAATACAAAAAAGGGGGAATGTAACTGGGACAAGATGCAGGCCTGACTAGAACCTGCATAACCCATGAACACATACATATATATACATACATATATATATATATATATATATAGATAATTATATAATAATTATATAAATATAATTTCTGAAAATTACGAGAAATGTCAAAACCAATATTTTAAAAACAATAACTGCAAGAAAAACTACCATGTCTTTAAACTATAAATGTAAGATGATGTTTAAATGTTGAGGAAGATTAGGTTGGGGGCTTTCAAAACTTTCACGTTATCTGAACTATTTCATGCAGAAGTGTTCTTTACCAAACCACAGAGCAAACTAACATGTTTCCTCTTCTATTTAATAATCAGTGACACCATGACTTGAAAGAATTATCTAACCTTTTGTCACAAGGAAAGACCTTCAGTCGCTCTAAACAATGTGTGCATGTGTCCTTTTAAATGAGTGTCTGAACAGGTATCAATATCTTACCATTTCCCTTATGGCCTCTAAAGCCTCAATGTCTCCAATCTTAGCAGCAACACAGACCAGAGTGGGCGTCAGTGCATCTCGTATAGCTTCAAGCTCCTGTGGACATTAATATTATATAGAAATATTACAGTTAATCACAGCCTCTGCTTCTTAGTATGATTCTACCATGTAGAGCTATACAAACTCTTAGGGCAGGAATTCACTATGAATAAATCTTGAATTATTTGCACACACAGTCTGCATTGTTTTAGCACCCTAATTACTAAATTATGCTAATGTGGTTACAGTGCACACACATGCAAACATTTTGTAATCATCATAGTTTACACTAAAATACAGTGAACCAAACTGACACAGCTCTTTGTGTATAATAATAGGGGTGTGCAATAATAGTTATTTTAACAATGTGCGAGTTGACATTGAGTATATCACTCACTTTGCAAAAAACAAACACGACTTGATAGTCCACTCATTCACTGCATGATGTGGCCTATTAAAATGCAGTTAGAATGGCAATGGAAACATTTTCAAATAATCACAGCAGTGAAAGATTCAGCGTTTGTTGAAGGAAGCGTTAGAGTGAATGATTCAATTACCAGTTTATAAAAGACAGGGAACTGACTTTGTTTCTGAATGAATTGGCCGTTTTGAACATTCTGACAGTTTAGTTTCATATTTTCAAATAACTTCATATTTCAAAATGTTATTTGTAAAACACCATAGTATCTTAAAGTAATTCAATTTATTGAATAAATGAAAGAATTTGACATAGAATAAATAAAAGATCACGCATACACCTAGACAAGATGTAATCGCAGTATAAAGGTAAAAATGCCCCTGGAAATCAATTTAAATGTAAAAGTTATTTTTTGTCACTACTGCTTATCACTTCACAGAATATGAAGAATATTTCTGATTATAAACCAGACAAGTTCCGTTTTGCTTCACGGAAACTTGGTTGACCGAAGCCATCCCGAACAGCGCACTTCATCTATTGGGCTTCCAGCTGTTCAGAGCAGATCACGTCGCCGAATCGTCGGGGAAAACAAGAGGTGTTTTTATATCAACGAAGGCTGGTGTACAGACGTAACAGTTTAAAAGAGGATGTGCTGCCCAAATTTGGAAGCTTTCTTTATTAACTGTAAGCCTTTTTATTCGCTGCGGGAGTTTTCCTCGTTTATTCTGGTGAGTGCATACATTCCTCCTGACGCGTGTGTGAGCACGGCGCTATAACAGCTGGCTGATCAGATCACACACAGAGCAGCGTTACCCGGACTCTTTAATTATCATTCTCTGTGATTTTAATAAAACTAATCTCACCTGCGAACTGCCTAAATACAGAAAGCACATCACGTGCCCCACCAGGGACAGCAATATACTGGACCATTGCTACACAGATTAAAAGGACGCAAAGTGGGGTTGATACCGGGGGTCATATTGCCTATTCCTACATTACTTGAAGCTCCTTGATGGCTGATGTCAAAATCGTAATTGCACAATGTGCAAAATGCTAGACTTCATGTTAAATATTTTTCATAGGTTAGTACTAAGAGTCTGCACTCAGTTTGTGATATTCATGTTATACAGTATTTTAGAGTAAACAGTAGGAATGCAACAATACAGTTAGCGCAAGGTTCAATAAATACCTCAGTTTTTTTAAACACAGTTTTCAGTTTGGTTCTGATGGTTTGGCACAACAGAGTTCTTTTTAGCGATTTTAAATGCTATTTAAAAAAAACAAACTCCAGTACATTGTTGTACACTGTAGAAAAACATGGATTATCACATGTCTACCTTAAATTTATTTTGAGAGAAGTATTATTTTTATAGATTGGCCATTATTTAGTGCTATGAACACATGTAATGTCTGTTTCATTCATACTGGATACTAGAGGGCGCCCCTGCGCAGAAAGTCCACATATGCATCACTGAAGAAATAGAGCTCACGACTCCAGGAAATACCATACACGTGTTTCCTCATCTCAGCTCACGACTCAGACACACAAACAGAGCCAGTTTGGAGAGAAATTAAAAAAACACGGAAAACGCTCTGATTGGTTGAACTCCTCATCTTTTTCTGTTGCTTGTTTACTGCGCGTGGACAGGTCACCGGGTTTTTGCGTAGTTTAGAGTGACAAAGCATACCCGCTACGCAAAATGCGCACAGGTTGGCAGGTCTGTCATTGGTTCACACGATTCGTTCAAAATGAGGAAACTAAACACTGCTGTGTTGCTCACAGACGCACAACAGTTCTGCGGTGGCTTCATAGGTAATCTTGTTGTTGGCAAAATTGAGCAAAAACACACAATATTAACTTCTTATTTACTGAACTGTTGTATAAAATCACATTTGCACTCTTGCTATTTGTGTAAAAACAGCACTTGTGTGAAATTGCTCTCGCTGCTCGTGTGATATCGCTTATCGTAATATAAATATGAGACAAAAACTCATACAGGGGCATTTTTTGCCCCAATATCTTGAATTTTAGGGC